TGAGGTAACAGAAATGGAAGCAAAAGCCGTGTTTCTTTTTTCCAGTAGGTGCAAATAGCAGTTTATTTACTATAGTATTCAAATTTTCCAATATGCTACTCATATCTTTTTACGGGACCATTTTCACACTGTAGTTATTTTCTCTGAATTAAACAAAAGGAAAACATCCATTCCTGCTTCTTGTGGCAATCCTTTGGGGCTGATGCCAGGCCCTTGTCCATCGTACCAAATGCCACTTCTACATCTGAAACTCAACAGATTTGTGAAGCAGTGAGTTTAGTCTCAGGCTGGGTAGTAAAAAACTTATTGTTTTCTCTGCTTCTCTTCATAGGCCATTATTACCTCCATGATGCAGAGACTTATTTGTTTGTTTGCAGTTTCCTGAAGATGTTGCAGCCAAGACTCTACCTTTGAAGCAAAAAACCCAAGTATGCATAAATTTATGCACATAACATAAATGATACATTTTATACCAAAAATAAAGCAAGTTCATCTCATTAATCTTTACAAATGATTTTCTTTACATTAAAAGTTTGTACTAACTTGAAACGAAAGTGGATTTTTTCCCTCCATTTTCTCTGTTACTGCCTCTCCATTAGGATTTAGATGAGATGACAGACATTGCTTTGTTTTACATATTCACTTGACTGGAACATCCAGACATAATGTCTTAGAGTTCCAAATATGAAAGTCTGAAGTTTTTGTGTTCACAGACACAGAGTAAGCCCAGACAATAGTCTTTCCTATGTCTCTATGTAGTCAAATGTAGCTGTATCTTGGAGAAACTATCTCTAAGAGGCAAGCTGCATATATTTGTCCATTCAGTCTGGGGCCTCCCTGCTGAGACAATCAATCATTAGAACCACAAGCAACATTGATTTTATGCAATGTGAATGCTTATGCATTCAGCACTGTTCTGAGAACAATAAGTTATTGTCTCAGAAGTTGCTGATCTGTTCTCTCTGACCTACCACTACACAGTTAGAACAAATACTGGCTGGCCAATTAGCAAATATAACGCTCAAAATCAGCTGAAACCCTGTTCGGATGACAGGGGACGTGTGAGAGCACTGGAGGTCTAGAGAGGTGTGTGCTAAAGCATGAGAGGAGGGGATCTGAAACCATATAAAAAAAGATGAAATGAAAAGGGTAGAAGAGAGGAAGTATGAGAAATGCAACATTGATCAGTTCTGTGACTTTTAGTACCTTTTTTTTCTTTTTCATTGCTCCTCAACAGTAAACTCTCTACACTTCTTTTAAAAAACACCTTATGTACAAGAGGTGGATAGACATTTCTTTAAATTATTACTAAATTACACAATTTTGGGTAACAAAATGTTCTGGTTTTATTATTATTTGTTTATTTACCATTACTTTTTCAAAATTTACATTTTTAAAAGTAGCACCCCAAAGAGGGCAAAATCCATGAAGGAGGTTTCATATAATTCAACGTATCTGGCTATTGGATCCACATTTGTCATGAAATAGAACATACTCCTTTTCTCTGCCCAAGGGTAGCATTTATAGATTCCTCTGTATTCTCTTGAAATTTATGATCAGTAACTCTGTCAAAAAGTACTGTAAGATGATGAGCTACCTCCACCCAAAAATAGCAGAAGTATAAGGAAATCATTTATCTTAGGTTTGTGTCAATCACACTAATACATACTTCTGTTAAAGTGGATGACTCTCTGACTGTTGCATGATTACTACACACAAGGTTTTTATGGGAAAAGCTGTGGTAAAATGGTCACAGATAAATCAGTGAATGGAGTTAATCACACTACTCTTATGACTTTCAGTTGTCAGAAGAATCTGAAGGACAAAGACAGCTAAATATAAAACTGAGAAGTCTTGAATTTGTTATTAATTACGGCTAGTGCTTATATCACAAATTACCTATTGAGGTCTAAATGCCTTATGTAACTAGATATCTCCACAAAGACCGTGGACTTTGAAGATCACTGTCTACACACCAGCATACTCTATGCCTTACAACTAGAATGGAAGATCTGTTTGGTTGCTCTTATATGTGGATGAAATAAATCATTGAGATTTAGTTATATGAAGAATCTACAAAAGTCTATCATCATGTTTGAAAAGGCTCCGTGTTTGAGCCTCACAAGTCCTTCATCCTCTTGGAAAGTATCAGTTGTATGTCACAGCCCTTCAAAAAAAAGGCTTAGCCTGAGGCACACTAAAAACTCTAGCACTGAGAATTGATGGCTGTGGCTGGCTAGTAACCGAGGCCAGGAGTATAACCTGGCATGTAGATAACATAGTATGGAGCTCCTGAAATACATCGAAGTGCCTGTGCTTTTATATAAAATGCTCTCAAAGCGTCACAAAATGTAGCAGATTATTGTTCAAGGGAGGAACACAGAAGGATGGTTACAAAAACATTCCTCGTACAATAGTCAGCAGCTCAGTTAGTAACAATCTAACAGACACCATAGATCTTTCAGTCTTACTTATCACCACTACACATAGTATGCCTGAAATTTGATCAGTCTGTGCTAGAAGGAGAATAGATTTGATGATCTCACTGACCTTTTCCATTTCTAATTCTTGCAAACCTACAATCCAAAAATCCAAATCAATGCAACTTTCACTGGTCAAATTTCCAGCAAAGACAGTCCAGGACCTGTAAAATGCCTTTCATCTCTCCTTGCTGAATACTTTCTACCTATCCTAGATGGGGGAAAAACGTTTATTACTTTCCTTAGGCGAAGTGTTCCTACTTGCAAAGTAAATTAATGCTCAGAAAAAAGGTGCAGTTCTATGATACTATCACCTCACACAATTAGCTGGAAAACTTGCCTTTCTGTAGACAAAATGAAGTACATTCATTCACAAAGAATGAAGTACATTCACAAAGAGGTTCACCTGTTTTGGCTGTGTTCCTTTTGAAAGCATGTCTAGCAAGTCTGCTGAAAAAATAAAATAGAAGAGAGGAAAAGACGTGCTTGGTTTCTACGTATGCAGACAAAGCTTTTCCACAAAGAGAAAGTCCGAAAATATGACAGAGGTTTTAACCACACATGCCTTTAATCACCTTAAAGCCAAGAATTCCCTCCCAGTAAAGGTAAAAATCAGATCAAACAGTACAATAGAACAATACCATCCACTTTTAATTTAAAATTATAACAATGAACACAGCTGTAAGGAACAGAGAAGGTGGCAAACCTTACATGTTTCCTTTCCAGAAAATGGAAGGGAACATCATCTTGTAATAATTAAGACCAAGGAACCCAAGAGAAGGGAATTCTGCCAGAGAAGTTCCTAAAAGCTAAGTCTGGCTAGGGGCAAAATCCTCTTTGACCTTCCAAAGAGTCCAGCCTCAGCAAGTAAGGGACAAGAAAAAAATTTCGTACTCAACAGGGCAGTTATGTGCAGACAAATGAAAAGAAACCCCCAAACCAACAAAACAAAACAACAAAGAAAGCAGCAGAAAAGAACTAGTTAAATGTGAGTGCAAAGTAGCCACTCTTTTCAAGATGCACATTTTATCTTTGATGTATGAACTGTTACAAACCTGAAAACACATGTTCGCATTGACACAAAAAGTGAATAAATATACTTTTTTTTTTTTTTTTTGGCATATAGTAAGACATGCTGCTGTCCATGTTTTTAAACTGCAGATTTAAACAACTAGAAATATATCTAAAATTTCAAACATAGAACTTCCCTATAGAACATTACAACATATTAGCTTTTCAGAATTGCCCAAGATGAGAACTTTCCCTGGCATATGTGGGTTGAATTACAGGTATACTGACAATGCCAAATCTTTACTATGCAAGAGTTCAGTGACTTTTTTGGTCAGAATGAACACTGAAGGCACAATGTTTTCTGTCAGTTCAAATGTTAAGATTGATTGCTGTACTTAACTTTGCCAACATTAAAGAACAGACCATAAACTTGTATTTTAACCATCACTGTCCTAAATGACATGGAGTTCAGCAGAAGAGATTTCTGCAACTCAGAAGTATCGTATCTCTATGTGATTCCAAGAGGTTAAAAAACTAACACTGATTAAATAAAAGAAGATATTAAAGACATGTGAAGGAATGACCTCCAGAACTTTGTCTCAAATTATGTCACCAGCAACTGCCAGTCCATGTGAGAGGATAACAAGGCAAATAATTACTTTGATTTTAATAATTAAAATGCAAAATCCACTTCTGATATTCCCCCAAGTAAGCCTGAGACTCTCATAATAACGTTAATTCAGTGGATTAGAAACAAGTCTTTGAAAGAAATACTCAAATTAACTGTCAATATAGTATCATTTAGGAAATATTCTGAAGAATTCAAATGCAAGATATAAATTAATAGAAACTAATAACTCTATTAACTTTGAAGTCTCTGTTGATTTCATCAATTTTGTTTGCATCTTCAAGGCAGCTAGCTTCTGATGTTTTCAGAGCCAGTGAAAATACTTTCTAGAAAGACCATGTGTGTTGAACTTTCATCCAAATGAAAATGATAGAATCTGCCATGTTTATTTTGTCAACCTTTCACTTGTTCAGTGAAATATACCACATATTTACTGTTCAGAATTATTTGCAGCTGAAACTAAAAAAATAAAATAAAATAAAAAAACCCGAGAAAAATCTGCACTAATCAAAATAATTTATCAAACAGAGGAACTAGAGCTAGCAAGAGCTTAACAAATTCTCCTGTAACTGTTACTGTATATCACAACATAAGACATCTTTAAACAATGAAAACGCACAGCATATTATTAAAGGATTTTAAAAAAATAGAAAAAAAATACAAGCTTAGAAAGCTATGATTTTGTTTGACTCCTGCATGGAGACAGGAATTTTTTAGAACACATGGAGTTATATAGCATACATGTAAATTCCCACTACTAACACGTGGAGAAAATATAACTCTCTGCAATAATGATTCAGGAAAAAGTTTTAAATAAAAGTGTATCAAGGGAGTGAATAATATTGATACACTAATGGTATTGTTATTAATTAAATCCTTACTTGATTGTTATCTAAAGTTTCAAGCAGCTGTTCCTCTGACTTCAATAAAGGAGTTTTTTTCCTCTGACGCTCTTCATAAGAACATTCAATGGCTGTCCATATTTGGTTGGTTTCTGCCAAAATCTGGGAAAAAAGAAGAGTTATAATAACATCTGTCCCCCTCTCTCTCTCTCTCTCTATATATATATATATATATCACATTTCATATTTTGAGTTGGTAACTTTAATTAAATTATATTTAATTCACAGTGATGGTAAACTACACCACAGACAAGAAGTTAATTTCTCTAAGCTGTGAATTTTGATCCCTAGGTAAGTCACATGAAAATATTCACTTCTATCATTAATTGCTTGGAACAAAACCTAATCAGACAAATAGTTTGTTATATACTATTCTGCAAAAAACAGAAGAAAGAAACATGCACCTCTCTCTTTTTCAGTACTCAACTCTTGCACAGCATTCACAACTACACTTTGGACTTCATTTTCTACTTTTATGAAGCTGGAGTCCCAGAAGGTTGGGCGAGGTAGTATCTTCCTATACTAAAAGCCTGACCTGTAAAGCAAAGAGACAGCAGAGAGCAAAAGAAGTCCGTGACCAAGAAAAGTCACACATAAGCATATAACAAAGTGTTCAAATGGTATCTAACTAAAAAACACAATGAAATAAATCATATGCACTCTAGATATTGGATACACTTTCAGATTTGCACCAGAAATGTAAACTTAATTGGTCTAGGTGAAATGTTTCTTGATGTTGTTACTGTGGGGGTTTTTTGTTTTGTCTTGTATTATGATATATTGTACATCTTAAGACTAAAAGATAAATTTGTTTGCACAGCTGCATTGAATTTAATGTAAGCTACAGACACAGTATTTGCAGACTAGAAACCTTGGGGAGTGGTGGAGGTATTTGCTGTATTTTGTTACTACTTTGTAAGATATCAATTAAAAAAAAACAACTAAATTTTTAATCTATATTTCAAAAAGATAACAGTCAATCCTTTTTTCATTATTTTTGTTAAAAAAAGAATCACAACATTTTTGTGCTAATCCTGTGTAGGACTTTCTGCATTTAAAATAATTTTAAATGTTCTTTTGTTAAAACTGTATGTGACAAATGACTGGCATATGGAAATATAATAGAAACATTATGTTACATTCAGTCTCTTGTGGTTTCAGATTTATAGTTCTTTTTACTTTAAAAATGAAACAAAAATTTGGAAATCTGTCTTCAAATTTCTTTCTCAAAATGATTTAAAAAAATATTCAAATTCTGAAAACCAACAACTGATCCATGTTATAGGAACCAAAACCACTGGGATTCTTTTTGAGAAATTGAAATTACTTTTTTTTTTTAGGTTCATAGAACCTTCTTTGGTTTTCCAGCTATATGATCAACAATTGGGCTAAATGCATATATTGCTGCCCCTTCTGGCATCCCTCACTTTTTCCTTTTTTTTTTTTTTTTTCCTTCTTTCCTGTCTACTCTCAGGTCAACAGTCTCCCTGTGAACTCATTCTATGCACCATGTCCTGGATTGCATCAAAAGCAGAGTGGCCAGCAGGTTGAGAAGTGATTCTCCATCTCTACTCTGCTCTTGTGAGACCCTTCCTGGAATGCTGTATCCTGCTCTGGTGACCCCAACAGAAGAATGATGTGCTCTTCTTGGAGTGAGTCCAGAGGAGCGACATGGAGATGATCAGAGGGCTGAGAGAGCTGGGGTCGTTCAGGTTGGACAAGAGAAGGCTCTGAGGACACCTTACAGCACCTTCCAGTGTCTAAAAAGAGCCTAGAAAAAGAAAGCATTTGCAGATACATGGGAAAGTTGTAGTTAGCATGGGACTAGGGAAGATTTTATTTGACTAATTGGTTTGTGTGGCAGGTAAGTCAAAGACCAGAAATATGCTTTACAGTATGCCATTTAAAGTAATGGAACTGTATTAACACCATGTTTACACAGTGATTTTATTATTCCACTTCGATCAGAGCCATTTAGTTTAACACAGCCCTGATAATTTAAGTATAATTTTCTTATTAATTATTTACTGCAGATAAGACGATACATAAATTAATATGTTTGAAACCACTGCTCAGAGAAGTAAGGGAGACTCATATACCCACTGGAGCATGATGAACATGACATAACTGATCAGCTCACAGGCAGTGAACTGCATCTTTTGTGTTCCAGGACCTGGCATATGTGCCACAGGGAATGATGCAAAAGCAGAAGGAGAATGCAGTTATCTCAATCCTCTCCTTGCTTTTACCACACCTACCAAAACATGACAACTCCCAGTATCAGAACTGGCTAGGCAGAGTTCACAATTCTGAAGCAATTTAAGCAAAGACATCTACCATGAAGTCTGATTTTTCTCTTAAACCACTAATAATTGGGCATGCAGTTAAGCTTATTTATTCCTGAATGAAACAAATATGTAAAGAAGAAATTTTATACCCATTAAGGTCAAGACTTTATACTCAACTACTATACTGTCTGTGAACCACAGTTATTCCTCTAGTGTCCTGCAAATAGTCTGGGAGGCCTTTGTTGTTATTTTTGCTTCATACTTCCCTTGTCTCATGGGAATTGTCTTCTGCAGGGCTACCGTTAACAAAGCATTGCAAATACTTAAAGCAAAGAAAGCGTGCTCCCTTCAAAAATGAGTACCTTTTCTGCAGCTCCCAACACTCTGGAGCTATGTCTGTGAGCAGAGCAGATAAACCTCTGCAAATTCCACCTGTCTCTAAAAATGACTGTCAACAGTCGGGGTCTGTGAGGTCTGTCATAAACCCCCAATCTCTTTATTCTTTCACATACTGCCTCAGCTCAGAGAAGGGACAACATGGTTTTATTAAGTACCTCCACAGGAAGTGGAAACTCATTCAAAAGAACAAAGTTTTAGAGGAAAGCCCCCAAAACAAAGCATGTTCCAGAAAATTCAGTTTGGACATGAGTAATAAATCTATTGCAACATCAAAGTGGGTGGGAAGAATAAGGAAGGGGTGGCACTGAGACAGATAAATTGCTGAAATAGACAGCTATGGAACCTGCCTTGGCAAACCTTCAGAGCTGCACATCCATCTGTTCCACATTAATCTCTCTCCACTGGGTTTTAGTCCAATCATCAATGCTGCTCTGAAACAGAAAGTACAGATAACAGCGTCAACAACATTTGGTAAAGAAGAGCTTCTGGTACATAACAGATAAATGGATGCAGGGAAAAGCCCATCATGCTGCAATAGCTCCTGGACCTTAATTTTTTCCAAACCTACACCACCACTACCTAGAAAGCACACATAATAATCCATCTTCTGAAAATTCAACCCAAAGGCCAAGTATTTTACCAGTTTCATGCTTTCATCTGATACTATATTTCTAACCATGTCCATGAAAAGCAATTTGTTGAGGGAAACAGAACTTTACTAGACTGATTTCCCATACAGGTCTGTACACTGAATTTTCTGGACTCCTGTTTCTAACTTTGTAGGGCTTTCCAATGCACAGTCCTCAGTTCTGAAGTGGAATTTTCTGGATTTCTGAGTTTTTACTCAGTTGTTTTAACTATTCAATCAAGTTATTGGTATTAAAAAATCTCTAAATGAAACTAAAAAGTTTGTTTTGTTTTGAGAATATCTTGAAATTGATTGACTTGAGAACAGATACTTTTACTCTGGGTATCCTAAAACATAGCAACTATAATTTCAAAAACAAAAACAATATTAAAATCTTCTGCATTTTAAACTAGTTTTTTTAAACAAAACTATAGCACTTCTACAATCAAATTAAAAGTATAACATTAAAATATATTCTACATTTGTAAATACCAACACAAAAATCTTATAGTAATATCAACATGAATATCCCAAACTTTCTTGAGCTAACTGCACTTCTTTTCAACATGGTTTCATATGCTTGTGGCCTGGAATAGCTACTTCAAATAGTTTTGCAGGTAGATTCAAGCATTAGTAACATTTCTCTTTCCAGTATCTGAAGCTCTTGATTTGCCTCAAAGAGGAAAAGAGCACTCAAAATATAGTTGTAGAGTATATTGAGCTTACGTAAGCCTGTCAGCAAAATCTATAGATCCTGTATATATGGTTCAATAAGAAAAGCTGAGAGAATTATTGCAGAGGTTAAAAAGCTCTGGACTGCCGCTGAAAGCTCCCAAAAGCATACAAAGGACTTTGTATCTGAAGCATAAAAGAAAAGCTGCATAGAAAGGAGTTAGTTTATACTCTTGTAATAAATCTCTGAACTTAGTAAACCACTACTTAAAGTTGTATAAATGTTAACAAAGTCCCTTCATGATGTTTTAAAAAAGATTCACTAAATAGTCAACTTTAGGCTGCTGTATTCAAGAGCACATTATGTTGAATGTTTAAAGGATCATGAGAAAGTATTCTGACTTTTTAAAATTTTAGATAGCATATGCGACATGAGAAGAGAAACAAGAAACATGAATTTGGTGGCATTAGAATTATACCAGCTTCTTGAAAAAAATCCCCAAACCAACAAGCAAAATACACCCCCACACAATACAATAAAATGAAAAAACCCTCCAAAACCAACAATTCCCCAAACTCCTGCCTTCCCCCCAAAAAAACCCCACAAACCACAAATATTTTAATGTGTACATTGAAATATCAGTAAGTGTCATAGTGAAAGATTACAAGTAATTACATTTTTCTGAGATTCCTCCTCACCTTACTGAGATGAGCATATGGATTTTCTACATCAAACCGAAAGGGAACTTCCATTTTAAATCTTTCTCTGAATTCCATCTGCTTCCTTGATGAAGCACAGGTAATGACACTTGTCACTAAGCACGTTCTTATTTAAAAAAAATTATATAAAAAAGACTGATCCCACAATTCAATGTACATCAAGTGAAGTGCATTTTCTTCTAATTAACTGCAATATCAGATGCCTGAAGTGGAGTTACTTTGTACTTTGCCGACACAGTTCTCTTCCTAACGGCATTCAATTCTTCAGGCAATTCCTATTTAACGGAGTAACACTTTCTTAAAGCAAAAAATACCA